ACGTTTGGGTTTTGAGAGAGCTGCCAGATACGTCTATATCCCAGGTGTATTCTGGCAACTATGACATCACATTGCCGAGTTTTTGCTCTATTAGTCCCATATGCGAATGTCTCCACGATATCTATCATAATATTTAATGCTACAACTTTCAGGTCTTTGTGTATGAGGAAGTCCAGTATCTGGTGAATGTCCTTGAACTTCGGTGCTCTTGTGGGGGCTTCGGGTTGTCTCTCGGCTGGGGGTCCCATCTTCGTAATGTCTCCTGTGGTGCTTCCTTCTTCCTAGTGGGTTCCCCGTCTGTTTTCCTAATCTATGGGTAGTTAGCTTCAGGTAGCCACAAGCTGCTCCTCTCAGAAAACCATTGGTAAATATAAGAAAACTCCAATTTCTGGGTGAGCCCCGGTGGCTTCCTGATCCCTGCCCTACCTTCCTGGTCATCGGTGGATGCTTCCCTTCTGTTGTAGAACTGGGAGCTGGGGACCCCAGCTGGCAGTAGGTGACCTCTTAACCCCTAGCCCCAAATGAGTGGGGGAAGTGGGCTGAATGAGACAATTGGATTGTTTACATAGTCGAGTTCTTTTGGTGGGTTTTTAGTCTTTGGTGTTACGAACCCGGATCCAGCATCCGAGCACGGAGTAGTAACGACTACGCCATCTGTGGGTCAGCTCCCGAAACCCCCGCCAAACGAACGACGACACCGGATGAGGACGGCGAATATCGGCCACAAGGGCCAGTTTCCAGTCCTGTGCAGCTCACAACACCGCCGCTCCTGACCTCTGGTGAGGTGGTGCTCCGACGACAGCGCCATCTATGGGCTGGATACGTCAAGTGTTTGTGCCCGAGCCCGTAAGTGAGGTGTATTAGTGTCCCGGTTATTGATGACGTGTCTGCTTACAGAGCCGACCTGGGACCACTGTGATGGAAGTGGAGTCAGTCTACCCGAGGCAGCCAGTCTCCATACTGTGAAGTTTGCTGCAGCTGTTGTGACGTCGTCCCCCCGGAAGAACACTGTGGTGTGTTAGCCTGCCAGTGGAGTGGCAGTAAAAGGATTTACCCGGGACCGACTGTTGGAGACGATCATCCACTGGGGTATTGAGGACAGGAGGGTGATTTGTGATATCACACGAGACTCCTGTCTAGGGCGTACCCCTTATATCGTTCGTGGAGTGGCCGTACCAGCCTTGGTGGCTCAGTACCTGCCAGCAGACCAGCTGGACGTGTGGTTGACGGCCTCCACGACGGTGCCCCCAGTGGACCTGTGTTTTGGCTGACCTGTGGCCAGGGTAGGCTCAACTTCTTTGGATATTTCGTTGTGTGGCCACGAAGAAGCACCAAGGACTCGGCACCGAGAGTTGTGGCACCAGAGTCTTCAGCAGAAGACTATATTGTGTATAATCCCCTTGTATAGTGTTAATACCCCTCCCCCTGTGCACTTTTTGATTTTATATATTTAATTGGAGATGGTGACAAGTATAATCTTAAGTTCTTAGCTTTCTTTCCCTACTCCCTTTAAGTTGCTTGCGTCACGGATCTCATCCCTTGATAGCCAATACTGGCTTGGGAACGGATACATATATCTTCCTCTAACATCATCAGAGTGAGAACCCCGTTGCGTCCCGAGAGGGTCGTAACATTTGGTCTCTTTTGAAGCTAGCAATGGTATGTTTTGACATGCCGACTTTCTAGTTGCTTTTCCCAGTGAGATGGTGAAAATAAATGTCATAACTTCCTGCACCTCTTTGGCCAACCACTTTGGGTGGATGGTAGAATGACAGTCGTGCTTCATGCAGGTTGGTGTTCAATCCCCTACTATCAAAGTGGTTGGACCATCCATTCCTTTCCCTCATCCCATCCCAGATCCTTATCCTGATCCCTTCCAAGTATTATATAGTTGTAATGGCTTGGTGCTTTCTCCTGATAGTTTCCTTCCCTCCCCCTCCTGTGAAAGTGGGGCTAGGTTCCGGTACTGGTCTCCAGTAGGCCTATAGAATTCCATGGCTGATGTGATCTAGTAGATGGTGAGCTACTGAGGGTCACCCAGAAATTGGTGTTTCATTATTCCTGTATTCAATGCTGTTTTTTTTATGATTTGACATGGAATGAACTGTTGGTTCCCTGTTGCATAGGTCATGTTTCACAGGTTGTCATAACGGGTAGCCAGCATGCAGTCAACCCTCAGGCCCACAATGTTCATAAATTTGTAGCTTTGATTGCTATGTTCTGCAACTAGACATGGGCTGATATTGAGGCTTGGGGGTGTTGAAGGTCTAACAAGGCCCTGGTGACCTGGTATTTAGTCAGTGTTCCTGGTCCCATTGGTCTTTGAGTTGCACTGGGCCAGTTTTCTGGTCCACTGTCTTTTCTTTAACCTAGTACCTGCCATCTCTTCTCCTCCCTGGTAAGTCCCTTCTTTAATTTTTCTCTGTGGTTACTTAGCGTCAGGGCTCCACTAAGGGGCTCCCCCGGAAAGTGAACATTGAATTTAATAAAATAGCTCTTTCTGGTGGAGCCCCTTTGCCTCCCCAATTCCCTCCCTTCCTATTGGGTTCCTTCAGTTGTTGGTTTATTGTGCATCAGCTCTGGGCTGACTGGTACCCAGCTGTAGGCTGGGAGCTCCAGGCTGCCTGATGGTGGCCAATGGAACTTACAGGTTCGAATTAGTTAAGAGTAAATAAGTTGTTTTGACTGAATTATTAGCAGTTATTTGGTTATTTTGATGATGCTTTGCTTTCTATGAACCTTGCTGTTGTCTGCATTGCCTTGCTGACTTTCTGAATGTTTTCCTGGTGAGGAGAAGCCAGATTCTGGCTCTGGTCCCCAGCAGGCCAAACAAGACTCATGAGACTGATGTGATCCAACAAGATAGCTTCAGGGAGTGTTACGATCATGTAACCTACAAAGGTTGAAATGGTGATCGTGTGAGTAAAATACATACGTGATTTACGATGTATGTAGAGTGTGGCGGTTATATTAATGCACCGCCAAACAAAAGAGGATGTTACTACTCTAGCTAATTTACATATGCTATAAGGATATGTGGTTAAGACTGTATAAAGCTAGAAGGTTACATTAATACTAAAGTGAATGGTGGCTATAGGATTTTTTAAGCAAGAGGTACAATACAACAGCTGAACCAAGCCAGCACCATACAGCTGGGGCTGGTGGAGCGTGAGTTCTTTTGAATGTGGCTGGCTGGGACTGACGTGGCAGTCTCGGGAACACATTTTTTCTGGACAAGTACCCTTCTCTCTCTCTCATTAAATTGAGCCACCATTCCTGGATGTAATGTTATGTTGTTGTGCAACACTGACTGTGTATAGGGACCTGTAAATTGCATCCAGGCACTTCAACCCGTGAGGATTCACTGTGGGTGTCTGAAGATGTCATGCCCCCTTCAGGGACTATAATGCCTACCTCTGGTGTGCCTGTGCACATCTCTACTCCTGCCTGTGTGGTATAGGGGATTTAACGTAAATCTAGAGGAAACGGAGCAAGTTGTAGTTATGAGGGAAGCAATTAATTAATAAATGAATAAGTTACAGCTAGACTTTTGTTACACCTGTCTGGAGAGTAGACTGATAAGGCTATATATACAGGATTCTTAATATTTGTGGGAGCTAAGTTCCCTGAGGGCAGGGCCTTGTCTAAGTTTTACTGGGGGCTTTTCCAGTTACTGTACCTCCATTATATACTGTACACAGATTTAAACCCCAGTGGTATCAGAGGTATGTACCAGTTATTATTATAACAATCAGCTCGTAACAGGGAGCCACCTGGACTCTAACAAGAAAAAGGCATTTCATTACATTGAATGCTGTTTCATGGTTAAATAATTGTAGGTTTTGGTTAGCCTAGGGCCCTAGAGTATGTGCCTTGGCACCCAGCTATCATCTTTGAATTTGCCTGTTACTAGCTGTGGATTTTGTTTTGCTACCCATTATTTTTTTTACTATATTGAGTTTGGAAACTCTGCAATATATGCAACATAGAGGATATCTGTATGGAGTTTTTAAATCCCAATTGCCATTGCTTATGCTTCTGGTATTTTGCCAAATTTAGAGTCAAGATATCAAGTCCTGAAGGGCATTCCTCAAATTCCACTGCATGGATCTTCTGTGGATAATCCTTCAGTTGTTGAGGCTTATGCTTCTGCTTGTTTGCAGTGTTCAGGTTTGCCTTCTTGTCAAAGATTCTGCACTGGCAGCATTCGGCATGTTTGACTTTTCAAAGACGTGATGTTCCAGCTCTAACTTTCCATTATCCATTATGGTTGGAGCTCATTTGTGACACCAGGGTGGCCACTATTTTTCTACTGGTGCCACTTGTATTTGAACCATGAGAGAGACTTTGATTGGCTGAACTTTGCTTCTATGATGTGTCCAATGGGCTATGCCACTTGAGGATATTGAAAATTTTTCTTGGCTTTTACACTTGTTACTAGTTATGAAGTTACATTTTTATCTGTTTTGGTCTTGAAGAAATTCCTCCTCCAGAGGTTTTGACCGAATATTTTATCAGTGTTTGGTCCCTTGCATCGAAATGCAACCGGGCTCTAGGTAGGGGGGCTCGGTGTTGCCATCTGGTGGTAATTGGATGTAGTGTCCTTTGGGCAAATTGTCAGATGTGAGAATGGTACTTGATGGTCCTAGTAATGCACAATAAGGCTTGGGAATGTTTTGTAGTTATTCTGGGTTGGATTGAGCTTACCTCCAGGCACCTTCCTTGCACCAGTATGACTACAGGGATGTTTGATAAAATACCTATTGTGGTTGTACAGGATGCCAGCATGTTTTGATTGTCATGATTCATTTATTTGTGACCAGGATGGATTTTGTCTTGAGAAATGAGTGTCGTGATTAGAAAGAAGCTCTTCATATCCGAGAAGCTGATTTTTATTCCTCTTACAAAACACAGGTGTATCATTAGCGGGCAAGAATTGGTGACTACCCGATCTGTTACATGAAAATGTTATCAAACTGTAACTTTTTTATTTTCCACAGCAAAATGTACAGCAGTCCGGTATCTGATCGGGGGGTGGGAGTAACTACCCCTGCCTCCTATTCATCTGCGAGTGCAAGGGCAGCTGCTGCTGCAGCTGCACGGAGAAGGAGTGCGGGAGTTTTCAGTGCTGCCAAGCGCTCACCTTACACCCCAGGGTGAGTTGCATGCTCATTACTGAATTGGATGAAAATGTTAAGCAAGTACTGATCTCGACGATTATAGCTTAAAGTGGTAAGGAAAGGGAAAGCTTGACAGTTTGTAAATGAGAACCGAGAGGAAGCACTTTACACCTGGTTGTAGGAAGTGACGAGGCGATGCTGTGGATGTGTTGCAGCACTGTAATGCTACTGGTTCCTTGTGATGTTGAAATATGTGTGTGTGGAAGATATTGTGGATATCATTTTTGTATTTACTATTTCTTCTGGGCTTTTGCCTTGGTACTCTACAACACTAGAAAGTGTGGTATGATTATGTTGTTGGTGATAAAAGATTGAAAAATTAGGTTTTGTGAGAGGTAATACTGAATGATGAATAGGCTCGGGCTTGACTTCTAGCCAAAATTCTAACATTTAAATAAATTCTTGAGAGGTACATATTCTTAGGTTTATACTTAGCCGTATTGTCAAATGTGATGTGTATCATTCTATTCCAAATACAGTACTTTGTAGGCCTTGGATGATGCATGTCCGTAATATATTGTTGAGGTTTTGTTGCATTCTATTTGAGATCCATTATCTATTACAGTGACAGATTTTCACTAGACCTTGCTGAGATTGCATTGCAGCCCTCAGTTCTTTTGAATGTAAATTGGCATATACATTTGGCAGCTGCATCCCATGTATCATATGAAACCAAATCAAAGACTATTCATAAATAGTCTTTGATTGAGATGTTGAAATCAAAAACTATTTACATGTACATATGTAATTGAGAAAGTTGACATTAAAATTACAGTACAGTGGAACCTCTATTAACGAGTGGCTCTATTAACGAGTTTTTCCAGTAACGAACAAGCCACTCGCAGCAAATTTGTCTCTATTGACGAGCTCGCCTCTATTAACGAGTGAAACCACATGGCGCTTCCTAGCGTCTCGCGGGTTCTCGCAAATTCTCGGACACCTCCGACGCCAGTGTTGTTGTTGTATCTCACACGACAAGCATCCCTATGGATTTATTTGAGCTTTTCTTTGGGTTTTTAGTGGTTTTGCGACTACAATTTGTAACACATGATGTCTCCAAAGAAGCTGCTTGCTAAAGATAGTGTTGTCAAGAGGAAGAAAGACACAATTACTGTGGATTTAAAGAAGGAAATTATAGCAAAGCATGAGTGTGGTGTCTGTGTGATTGATCTCACAAGGAAGTATGGCAGGTCCTCATCAACAATTTACACCATTAGTAAGGGAATGAGGAGGTAAGGGAGGATGCTGCCTCTTCCACTGAGATCAGGGAAGTGTTTGGAATGTTTGAAAAGGTGAACGCATTCTTGGAAAAGCTGTCCTGATAAAGCAGTGACAACCCGGTGTGTGAAAATGTTTAATTAATTTATCACTTTGTGATAACACTTTATGAAAGTGTTATCACTTTCGCAGGTATATGTTGCTTGAACGTAACACACTTTTTTTCTCTTGAATGCACCCAAACACCACGCTCAAGCGTCATTTGAGCAAATATTTCTATAAAATCCAATTCTTATCCGATCGACTTGGGGATTGTATAAATGTTTGCCATGAAATTTTCGTTTTCTTTAATAACCACATTGCCTATTTGAGAAAACGGCATTTTATTGTATCTTCGTGGTAAGACTATTATATTGTTGACACAATGAGTGTAATCAACGTAGTTTTTTTATTTGGTGCTGGTCTAACGCATCCTTGTGTGACATTTGAAATGAAATTTGGGTGAAATTCCCAAGAACAGAGAGTCCGCCTGACTCAGAGGTGGATTCTCCTTCCACACCATAACCCCTCTCATCCTTCCCACCTCCCCATCGTCTCCCTCAAGCCAGCAACTACTCTTCATAAGGTAAAGTAAATATTAAAACACTACAACAAAACATTTATATTTAAATGTGCAATATTATATTTACATAAAAAAAAGTCATACAAGTATGGATGTTTTTGGGAGTGGAACGGATTAAATTTATTTCCTTTATTTTAAATGGGGAAATTTGTTTCCAAAGACGAGTTTTCCAGGTAACGAGCTCGGTGCCAGAACGGATTAAACTCGTTAATAGAGGTTCCACTGTACATTAATTACATAGGAGAGAGTTAAAAGAACATCATAGCACATTGTCATTATCAGTTTACCATTAGAGCAACAAGACAATATATATATTTTTGTGAGAATGAAAAAAAAGAGGTATCATGGTTTATTAGATGCATAATATAAAAGAATTGTGGCACAAATGTCCTATGATTTAATTACTAACTTGTGTGTTTCAGTCGGTCAACGTCAATGAATCGTTCCCTTCAGACATCCCAACTGTTAGAAGGCAGCGGTCAGTATTCCCTGGAGAGTTATGGGGCGTCCTTGCCTGCACTCGTCATGGAAGCACTCACATTTGCAGAAAGTTAGTCCCAAAAGTTGGTTGTCTATTATATCTTCTGCAGTCTAATTTGGTATTACTAGTAAAAATATCCTAAGATTATTTTTTCCAATTTGTTTGATGTGTATTTACATTATCTGGAGAACATCTTTGCACATTGGTGTTTAATTTTCAAGCTTCATGTTTGCTTGTGCAAGGAATGTCCTTATTGTTTTTGTGCCTTGTAGCTCCCTGGTGGCCAATTTTCTGAGCTATTTTAAAAATTGTCAAGTTTGAACCCATGGTACTGATAACCCCATATTTCATAATAAACCCAGTTTGTTACATAACCCTAGTCTGTTACATAACCCTAGTATCTTGTAATATTATAGCCCCCTAACCTAACTCCACCTAACACAATCTAAACTAAACTAGTCTCATTATAAGACTAGCAAAATGACATTATTTGGACCCAGCATTCTTGGCCAATGGCTATACATTTTCCCAGGATGCAACCCATAGCAGTCGACTAATTCTCATAAAAGCAGAACATAAGAATAAAGAAAATGACAGAAGGCCTATTGCTCATGCAAGGCAGTTCCTATTTATACCCAACTAAACTCGCTTGTATATACAGTGGCACGTACGAAATCTGGACCTTCCTATAACAGATATCTCTGAACAACGAACTCAATTTGGCCACCGGATCCTCCTTCTAAAATGTGAAGTGTGGAGGTGTACCTTTATGTTTAGTCCGCCATTGAAACAATTTGTTTACTGGAGGTATTTATTTATTTATTTACATACAAGAAGGTACATTGGGTTGTGAAAGTACCTACAGTGGTACCTCGGTTTAAGAGTTTAATCCGTTCCTGGAGACAGCTCATATTCCAAAAACTCGTAATCTGAAGCTAATTTCCCCATAAGAAATAATGGGAAATGAATTAATTCGTTCCTGACTACCCAAAAACCTCCCTTCAAACTAAATTTTTATACCTAATTCATCAAAATAAACCTACAAAACTATGTTCAAGTTATTACTTACCCTTGCTGATGACTGCTGTTGGCGTATGGAAGATGGTGAGGAGGAGGGAGGAGGAGAGGTGTTACTGTTTGGAAGGGGAGTCCTCTTCCATTATAACATCAGGCAGTGAAGACTTAACTGGTGTGCACTCTCTGGCACATTTTGCCTGCATACCACTAGGACTGGCTTGTCTTACTAAGAATGTCTAAAGACACTTGTTTTTCCCTACATTTTAACACTTGTCTGTAGTAAGACATCATCACATTGTCATTTAAAAGGTCAATGCAACGGCCTGCTACAGCTTAATCTGGGTGAGTTTTTTCAACAAAACTTTGCAGTTCTTCCCATACTCACACATTTTCTTAATCAAGAAGGGACATCCTCTACTGCCTCTACTCAGATATTTTCTTAGGTTGAACCTTACCAATGGCTTTCTTGGGACCCATGGTGAGATATATAATGACAACTTTTATGCTCAAATGGCCTAAAAACCGACAAAAAACTGTAAATCCTTGTGAAGAATTCGGGCAGGATAGTCACTGGGCGCGAGACACTGGTAAACTGAGGCGCGATCGCCATGCCACCACGCGCTAGTCGGCCTGTATGTGTGTCGACAAACTCGTGTTCCGAGGCAACCCTCGCCTTCCGAGGGTTGCCAAATTTTCCGAGCAAATCCTGCTCGTATTCCGAAAAACTCGTATACAGGGACACTCGTATTCCGAGGTACCACTGTCTCTTGGTGATTGAGTGGTACATTGTTGCAAAGCTACTAACGTGTATTTAGAAGATGCCTTTCATATGTGCCTATAGGGCAGATCTCATTGAAACCTGTAAAAAACTACTTGTGATTTGAACATTTGTA